GTCATATCATACTAATGAAAAAATTTTTTACTATGATTCTTACTATATTAAAAAAGATCATAGGTCATATCAATCTTCGTTATGACCAAATGACCTATGACAGGTCATAAAGGTCATATAGATCATTTAAAGTCATAGGTCAACACTGGGCTGCATGAATGACATCACTAACTGATTTTATATCTGATCTTTATCATGTGATGAGAAACCACTGCGGAATTATAGTCATGATTGTCCATGATAATCAATTCCTCTGATATATATTAATAATATATATACCGATACGTATAACGATAACGACAATTTTGAATTAATCATCGAGATGAGCAAACGCAAGGATGACCACGAATTATCTGCAAGAGATAAAAAAAGGGGTAAGTTAATAAGTGAATTATTGTCGTCAGTACCGATTACAATGATTTTTATTTGATTTATTCCTATCAGCTAAGACTAGGGCTGCAAGAACGATAGACACTTTTGGTGGCGGTGGTAGTCGTGACATTAATGGTATTCATTTTATAATTTAAATTCTCATTTAATTTTTAATAATTCCTAATGTATTGAATTTCATAAATTTTTCAAGTCGCTAACTATGCACCAAGAACCATTAATGTAGTAGATTTTGCAGAGGTAAATCAAAGTATAGTTCAAGTTATAATACACATTATGCGTTGTTAATTGACTTTACCAATACAACTAGGCCAGAGCTTTCGAAATTAATGCAATGAATGATGCTTTGGAACGTGCAAGGTTTTGTTCATCTACTTAATCAGTGTAAAAATTTTTTCGTTCAGTTATTTAACAATATATTCTCGAATTTACAGGCAAACAAGGAATACTAATGCGATCCAATGTCTTCCTCGTCACCTTCGGCGACGAGCTGCAAGTCATAATGTTAAACGTCTACCAGTTCGTTTAAGGAAGCAGGCTACCGAGGAGGTATGTAATAACCAATTATTGAGTAACTTTTTTAAAATGTGAAATATTATAAATTTTATGACTCAATAATTACTTGTAATAGATATTAAAAGATAATACCGCACCCAAGAAACCAAGCAGGCGCAAAAAAAGGCGCCCCGGCTCATTGGCCGATGAATACAAGCGAAGACAAGGTTTTCTCTTTTTTCTATAATTATTAAAAATTCTATCAAAATATAACTAATTCTCTTTATTGATAGGTACAAAAAGGTGGCTAGAAACCCATATCTGGCATGCCAAGAGAATGAAAATGACCGAGTTATGGGGTCATAAGCTGGTAATTAATCGTATGCACATTTACTTTAATGACAATATGAAATTCATATAACTACATTCAATATATTCAATATTTAGGCAGAATATCCAAATGAGAAAAGTATTAAATCCTCATATAGAGCAAGCCAACGTCTTTCTATTATTCATGATGCGTCTTATTTCGGATGGATTCAGATATCTGGAAGTCAAAACGTTATTATCAAGTTATTAAAT